TACAATTCCCATGATTCCCTAGCACTGAGCCAGGGCAGTGCCTCATTTCTGGCAGTCTGCAAAGGCCTATGGTAACCCTAAGACGAATCTATCACGGGATAAATATACCTATATATACACCCGCACCCGCACACAATATACATATAGTGTACATATAGTGTGTATATTATGCAGACGCCCACACCCCGTGATAGGTTCTCGGTGTCGCCATAAGTCAGAAAGGCCTTAAGCCGCATCCTGGCGCCACTGTGAGCCGGTTGAAGGCAGGGGCCTGTGCGGCGGCGGCAGGGACAGCGGGGACTTTGGCCTCGGGCGAAGAGGAGGCCGCCTCCCTGTCCTTTCCCTCAGCCTCCCTCTCCGCCATCTTGTCGCCAGTGGGCCGCATCATGGCGCTGGGCGGCGTGCGGGTGCTGGAGATGGCGGGCCTGGCGCCGGCGCCGCTCTGCGGGCTCATCCTGGCCGACTTCGGGGCCCAAGTGGTGCGGGTGGACCGCACTCCCCGGGCGGCCTTCGGGGCCGACGTCCAGGGCCGAGGGAAGCGCTCGCTGGCTATGGACCTGAAGCGGCCTGAGGGCGCCGCCGCCATGAGGCGCTTGTGCCAAAAGGCCGACGTCCTCCTCGAGCCCTTCCGACCAGGTGCCTCCTCCAGGGGAGATTAGAACCCAGAACCCGGGAGGAATCCGGGAGTTTTAGGAGTGTGGGGTGTATTTCGTGGGGGAGGCTGCATCCACACTGCGGGAATAATCCACTTTGAGACCGCATTAACTGCCCTGGCTCAAATGCTAGGGAATCCTGGGAACTGTAGTGTTTGTGAGACATTGAGCCTTCTCTGTCAGAGAGAGCTGTGATGCCACAAAGAACTACAATTCCCAGGATTCCCTAGCACTGAGCCAGGGCAGTCTCAAAATGGATTATTTCTGCAATTGTGTTTTGGACCCAAAATGCCCTTCGTTTGGAGCATGACGGTATATAGTGCAAATTGAGTCCACTTTTAGGATTAGGGTTAGGGAATCATGGGAACTGTATTTTATTGTGGCACCAAAGCTCTCTGACAGAGAAAGCTCAATGTCTCAGGAAAAAACAATTCCCATGATTCCCTAGCACTAACCCTAACCCTAAAAGTGGACTCAATTTGCACTATTTCTGGCAGTCTGCAACCCCCCATAATATTTATATTATATTATATTGTAAAGCCTTCTCAGAGAGTTTTGGTGCGACAGTAGACTACAAATCCCAGGGTAGAGCCAGGGCAGTTAAAAATAGTGTCAAGCTGGATTATTCGTACAGTGGCGATACAGACTACAAATCCCAGGATTCCATAGCATAGAGCCAGGGCAGTTAAAAGTGGCGTCAAACCGGATTATTTGTGCAGTGGGGATACAGACTATCCCAGGGTTCCGTAGCATAGAACCAGGGCAGTTAAAAGTGGTGTGAAACCGGATTGTTTCTGCAGTGTGGATACAGACTACAAATCCCAGGTTTCCATAGCACAGAGCCAGGGCAATTAAAAGTGGTGTGAAACCAGATTATTTGTGCAGTGGGGATACAGACTACAAATCCCAGGGTTCTGTAGCATAGAGCCAGGGCAGTTAAAAGTGGTGTGAAACCAGATTGTTCCTGCAGTGTGGATGCAGACACCTGTGTGTATGTGTGTGTGTGAAGTTGTTTATGACAAGCCTGTGAATTGACTCCATATGGGGAAGGTATATTATATTAATTATATAACAACAATAACAATAATAAAATTATTATTATTATTATTATTATTATTATTATTATTATTATTATTATTATTATTATTAGGCTGGGTCTACACTACAGAATTAAATGCAGTTTGAAACCGTTTTAACTGGTTCAATGTACCGTAATTCTGGGATTTTAAGGGGTTTTAAAAATATTTTTTAAATTACAATTCAGAAATTGTATACATTGTCTACATATAAAAGCAACAATGATCTTGTAGCAATTATTAATAACTAGTAACAAATCAATAAGGGTATGGCTATGATTATGAAGAAGAGACAGACCTATTGAGGAAAGTTGAGAAATCCACAGTGTTGTTGTTGTTGTGTGCCTTCATGTTGTTTCTAAATTATGGTGACCCTATTAAGGCGAACCTATAATGAGGTTTTCTCAGAGGAGGTTTGCCATTGCCTTCCCCTGAGGCTGAGAGCATGTGACTTGCCCAAGGTCACCTAGTGGGTTTCATGACCAAGCTGGGAATCGAACCCTGGACTCCAGAGTCATAGTCCAACACTCAAACCACAGTGTCAGTGAGGTTCTAATTTGATCTCATCCTGGGATTTGTAGTTTTGAGAGTTACTTTAACATTCTCTTTCTTTGTCAGAGCTCTGGTGCATCAACAAACTACAAATCCCAGGGGTTACTCCTTGCCCTACTCTGGAGTAAGATATTTTTATTTAATGTTATTCCTACTCCTATTCCTGTAAAAACCTCTTACTCCTTTAATCCTTACTCCTACTCCTCAGCCCTGATTAATACAGGGCTGGGGAGTAGTGGTGATTTTGGAGTTACTCCTTGTCCTATTCTGGAGTAAGATATATATTTTTAATGTTACTCCTACTCCAGTAAAAACCTTTTACTCCTTTATTCCTTACTCCTATTCCTATTCCTACTCCCCAGATGTGATTAAAGCAGTGTCAAACTGCATTAATCCAGCAGTGCTGCAGAAGCCTTCCTAAACTGCAAATCCCAGGATTCCACAGGATGGAACCATAATGATACAGTTATGTAGTGTCTTGCTTTTCTACTCTTCTGTTTCCTGCTTTTGCTGTGACAGGCTCCTCTCTGCCACTGAA